ATGGCTGGTGTGCTGTGTGCACAAGTGTGCTGTGTACATTGCGCAAGGCTAGATAAACTTCACCTACATTAAAATTGCTATATTCTCCTCTGTTGGTGGTTATACTGATACTTGCTTTTCAAGTTTCCTTAAACAATTACTGTTGTAGCTCAGAAAAGAAGTATTAAGAATAATTTAGCTAAAAGTATTTCATGAAGATGCCATTTTTTCTTCTGAGTAATTCCAGATGTAAAAATAAAGTGAGCCTTAGCCAGCACAGGGGGAAGTCCCTGGGGGCCAGAGCACACAGATTTGCATGGGTGTCTCTGCTGCTGTAACTCCACTGGGATGATTTGAGCTCATGGGCTTGCCTAATGTGTGGGCTCTTGGAGGAAAGGACTCATTGGGACTTTTGTGGATAACTGCCTCATTGTTTCCCCCATGCCTTACCAGGGCCAGCAGCATGAGCGCGCCCATTAATATTCCCACTTGGGGAAAAAGGGAGAAATTCAATAGAAGTTCAAGAATTATAATAAATAGTTCGTGATTTAAGAGTATCTCCTTTGCTATATTAGCTGCATGTTCATGTTGGGGTGAAACACTAAGCAGCAGAAGGAAGTGAGTAAGTCAGCAGTGAAACCTTGGTGCACACGAGAGAGGGGGCAGAGCTACACGTGTGGGAAGAAGCCGGGGACAGAGCCCACATCTGTCCAGTTAGTTAGCCTGGTGATCAGACTTTAGTAATGAGATTGTGCTGTTACTGCAGGTGTTTGAATTAGCAATTTAATACAGCAAGCAACTTCCCTTCTTCTCCCCATCCAGAGCTGCCCTGACACCCACCATATCCCATCAGATGGATGTAGGTGGGTGGGGGACTTCTTGATCCCCCACCTTGTATGTAACGGGCAGGGGATACAATTGTTCATTCCCAGACTGTTGCAAGGAGCGGCCGCTTGTTTGTCCCAGCTGCCCAGAATCAAAAGAAACACACAAACTATATTAATTAAATCACTGCTTGGCCCATTAGCTCTAACTTCTTATTGGCTAACTCTTACACCTTAATTTAGCCCATCTCCATTAATCTATATATCACCACATGGCAGTGGCTTACCGGCAAAGATTCAGCATGTCTGACTCTGGCGGCTCCATGGTGTCTCCCTGACTCTGCCTTCTTCCTCCCAGCATTCAGTCCAGTCCTCCCCACCTACCTAAGTTCTGCCCTATCAACAGGCCAAGGCAGTTTCTTTATTCATTAATGGTAATCACAACACACAGAGGGGACTCCTGCATCACCAGACCAATTTGATCCCAGCCCAAAGTCTGTTTCCAGAATGCATTTACTGCACAAGAGGAGAAAAGCACGCAGTAAAAGACTGTTTGGTTTTGTTTTTTGAGACAGAATATCATCTTGTGTAGCTCAGGCTGTCCTGGAACTTACTACATGACCCCCTGCCTCAGCCTTCCCAATAAGGAATGTGACACACCTCTGAGAGCACAGTGGATGTGTGAATTACTGTGTTGCTAGAGGCTGTAGGGTGAGGATAAGCATTATTAGGGTGCTGTTTTATTTGATCAAGAGGCAGAGCACATGGATGTGGCCACCAGCTTGCCAGCTAAGTGCAGGACACGTCTGCCAGTCTCTGTTAGGTGTAGCCATCAACTGTGAAGTGGGATGGTAGAAAGCAGCACCCGTGGGCAGCCTGGCTCTGGTGAGAGCTTTTCTCTGTCCTTTCTGGAGGAAGGGTCCCATGTTTAACCCCAGGACTGTTGAGAGGTTCTGGCTCACTTTCTGTTGCATAAGTCTCCACTCTGGCTCCATTTTACAAGAAGAGGTAATAAAGCTTATCCATGGAGGTAAGCTTTTCTCCAGGCAAATCTTAATGAGACCTTGATCCTAATCTTGCAGCTACTTATCCCTGGGGTAAGAATCCCTGTTTGTTGGTGCTGTGTCATTAGTGAACATGAGTATTAGCGATGATCTCTCGTTTTATTACAGTTTGGCAGTATTTTAAAAAACATGTTTATCGAGTTGGGTAAGTGCGATTTAGAGAGGTAATCCTTCCTTGTGGGTGGACCTTGAAGACATTAACAGGCCCTTAAAGCAGAATAGTTAGAGTTACTGATACTATTATCAACCAAGGGTTGCTATAGCAACGAGTGGTTTGATTGCACCATGCAATTGGTGGTACCCTGGGCTAGTGTAAAAGGAGCCCACTAATTTAACAGAAAGTCTCCCGGAGCAATTTAATTAAACCCCAGTAGAATGAGCACTGTATTCTCTGAGAGACCCTGAGGTATTCTGGCTAGTGCTTCTAAGTTAATGAAAGATAAGCTATGAATCTGAATCTGCACATTTTCACAAAATTTAAAAAGTAACTTTAGGGTGAGGATTTTTATATATCTGAAAGTTATTTTTAAAGTTAAAAGTAGTTATAATGGAAATCTATCATTTTATTATGGAGTATATGTAGCAGATCTTAAAAATATTTGAAATTTTATTGTCTTACGTTTTTTACCAAGTAGATATTATATTTGAGTCTACCCCCATGCCTGTTTCCCTCTTTTCTCATCCTCCCTCACATCTGTTAGTCTACTTTATCCCCAGTTTTACTTCCTTCATTACTATGTATATACATACATACATACATGATTTATGTATCTATATAAAATCTAGGAACCACAAATGAAAAAAATAGATAATATTTGTCTTTCTGAAACTGGATTCTTTCACATATGATTACCTCCAATATGTCCATTTTCTACAGCAGTTGAATAATAATAATAATAATAATAATAATAATAATAATAATGTCACAGGAGGCTGTAAGGGAAAATGTAGGAATGGAAATATGCTAGGATCATGGTCATTTAAGGATGGGACTGAGGGAGAAAGCTTAACGATGTTGCTAAGAGATAACAGGCCATATCCTGCTTTCCAAGGTGCGCTTCAGAATAAAGAAGAGCCTGCATGTATGGAATGCTTTAGGGATACAGTGGTCTGGAGTGGCGTTAAGGGCATAGCCTGTAGCCAGAAGGATGGAGTTGTGTGGTCCCCATCCTCTCAGGTGCAGATGTGCTCCTGGAACCTTGGTTCTGGCCACTCTCTTCTTTGGCACATTGCCCCTATCTTCTCTACCTGAAATTTTATCATGTTGGTATGAGTTTCCAAAGGGCTTCCTCAGCTACCCCTAGGTGGCAAACACCACGGTAGGCGATTCGCACCAATTCTGTGCATCTGCGAAGTGGGCTGGAAAACTTATTTTAACTGTTTGCTTTGGACTTTTGGCACTGAAAGGGTAGTCTCAAAGGCAAAACCGGTCTGTTTTCGCTGGTATGGCTGTTCTTCACGCAAATGTTACTCTTCCGCCACCCAGAGGCCATATTGGGAAGTTCATGTGAAAGCTGGCATTAAGTACCAGCCATCAGTACAACCTCATCTCTTTTCTCTGTTGAGAAGAGTTGACACAACCGCACAAAATTGAGGTTATTATGCTTTCATTTTTATCAAGAAACATAATAAGCATTATGAGTTTATGATCAATACACAGTTGTCCAGTGTCACTGTAGTGTGCTTGCTTGGTCTAAGATAAATCCAGTTATTCCTTAAAAAAAAAATCATTTTTACCTATGTGTATGTTTGTATGTTGTGTGTGAGTATGCATACATGTATGTGTGGGTGCCAGTAGAGGTCAGAAAAGGATGTCAGATTCCCTGGAGCTGAAGTTGCCAGCAGTTGTGGGTGCTGAGAACTGAGCTTGGGTCCTCTGTAAGTGCAGCCAGTGCTCTTGTCACCTGAGCCATCCCTCCAGCCCAGACTCAGTTATTCTTCGGTATTAACAAAAATGCGACCAGTGGAGTTGAGGCTGTTCCGTTCTTGCCTCCATCACTTCCTATTCCGTCTTTCCAGTCTGTCTCCCTTACCACCTGGTTTGTCGTTGAGAGCCTTTCAATGAGGCCTTGCACGTTTCCTATGCAGAAACATAGACTGACCCCCATCTCTGGCTGTGCTAAGAACTTGAATCCATCCACTTGGAGGTTTGAGGTAGAAGGCAACTGAAATTAGCAGGAGAGACCAAAGGGTAGGGAATGTCCAGTTTCTGAACTGTCTGGGGAAATTCTTGGCATTTCTCTGAGACCACATCAGAAAGGTCCTTGGGGGCTGTGAAGCTGAGATCATAGAAAAGACCCCGAGACCCCCAGGGCTGTATATTCCTTTAAATTCAGGGGGAAAGTTTTCAGCTTTTGCCCCTGCTAGGGATGTCAGTATGTACTTATTCCTACGCCTGCACCCCGTGGCTATGTTGACAGTCTTCACACTTGTTTCCGGGAACAGAGTATCTGGGAAGAGAGCCAGTCAGTCAAGGAACAGAGAAACATACCACCTCACCTGGGTTTCCTGTTCATCACAGGACATCCTGAACACTTTCCAGGAAAAGCTTCGCTGCGAGGGGGACACCTGGGCCATCTGGGGCATCTAGGGCCAGCCACCGCCTAGTCAGCCTGGCCAGCTGAGGTCGGTGCTGAGGACGGTGTGGCGTGTTCCACTTTCAGTGCTGCAGAAGGGACTGCAGGGTTTCTTTGCGAACGAGTTAGTCATTTCCCTTTCTCCCATTGCCATCTGTGGAATCCAGGGGAAGAGGCAAGTGGGATTTGCTCAGGTGGGTACCAGTCGCATCCTCTGCATCTGTGCTATTGTGTAGAATCTTCAGGGATAAGCATCCTTCCTTTGCCACCCCTGCTGCTGCCCCAGGATTTCCAGTAAGAGTTCCCTGCCTTATTTACATCTTAGTATACACAAACAATGCCAGTGTGTGCGTGTGTGTGTGTGTGTGTGTGTGTGTGTGTTCATTCAGGGGATCAAATGCTTCATTCTTTGATAGGGTCGAATGTTAAGAAATCTAATCTAAAAACCCAGCTAATACCCTATTTATAATGTGTCATCTCCTTTCTTTGCTCCCCCCCCCCCCCGCTCTAAGTAAAGCTCTATTCAGCAATTCTAATGAGAATGATTTCTTTTGCAGAGATTAAGAATGTGGAGTCTGACAGATCTCCGCCTGATGAGGAGGATGGAAAGGTAAGGACTGATGGTTGTTTGGCCTTGCTGTCTCCCTTCTGTATTAAAGTAGACATGATAGTTGAGCCAGTGTTCATAGAAGTCCACAAATAGGCAGGAGTGTGCCCCAAATCCAATTTCTTATATTAGGATCACAATGGGCTACGCTTTTATGACCAAACCTTGCTATCTGTCTGAGTTGTCGCTGTTACATATACAAGATAGTTGACAGCGTCCTCTGGTGCATTCTGTACTGGAAGCTTCTCATCCATGGATTTTGCTGACACTGCTTTACCCGTGGCTGGCCTCCAGGTGTGCTTTAGCTGGACATGCATCCTTTCCTTGTTTTTAGCTCCTGGTGCTAATTATAAACACAGGCAGATTTCCTGTTTACGTGTTGTGATGTGGGTGATGTGGTTTCATTGATGTTTCCCAAGAGCGTCATTCTAGCTCACGAGAAACAGACATTATATGAAATCCATGAACTGCTTCCCCGTGTCTTTCAGTGTGTCAAAAGCCAGGTGGATGGACTGGACGAACACGAAGACCAGGAGCGCCTAGATTTGGGTATGTTCCAAATGCTGCACTCCCTGCAGCCGGGGGGGTACCGTGAACCGGATGAGTGGTGAACGGAAAGAAAATGCGTTGTAGTATGAAATTTTCTTCCCCGGCAACCTGGCTTACTTCTTTCGGACCACCCAGGTCAGTTTTCTTTAGAGTTTCAGTCATTGCACCACAACTTCTGTTTACAGTCTAGAACACACAGGAAGAACTTACAACGTTTCCCAAGGGGCTTCATTTGCTCTGCCAAACTCTGGCATGGTAGTTGTCATGGTTACCTCGTTATCGCAATGTAGTGGGCGCTGGGACCTTCATTTTAGGGAGGCCCCCCAAGCCCATGGAGTGGAAGTACAGGACTAGACTTGGGGTGTATTCTGCCTGTTTCACAGTGTGTTCCTACAGACATGACCCTCTGTGGTCTACCCCCAACTCTCAGGCCTCAGGAGAAGACCAGTAGCTGTGGTGGAGGTGTGGGCCCCTTAAGTGGGGGAGGGGATAAAAGTGGTACTTTCCATGGACCTGGATATTCTCATCTACTCCCAGGTGTTCTAGTCTCGGTTCCCTGGGCTCCGCCCCAGGACTCCCCTCCGGGTGTTTTCTACTTCTTCAAGGCTAGCTTGGATCACAGGGATAGAGGCAAGTGGAGGAGAATGAAGTTGTCTGGGTAGGAGGATGTGGGTCAGGCTACCCGGGATGTGTGTGAGGCTTCTTCAGGCGTGGTGCAGTTGGGGCACCTTGCACACCCAGAGAACATATGAGAACAGAGCTGCCTTGGCCCGGCTGAGGAGGTTGGGGCCCAGGCCAGTGGCCAGGCTATTGAGGGTTGAGAGTATATTGAGCAAGCTGCAAAGGTGGTTGGCTTAAGGAGGCACCGTGAGGGGTTCCTGGAGGTTCTGGTTGTGTTTGGCATTCTTGGTAGGCACGTGTCAGGGCTGTTACCACAGTTGGGAAATCCCATAACCTAGAGGAGGCCAGGAGGAAGAGCCCGTAGGGTCGGTTGAGCGTGCTGCGCTGGGCTTGGCCCTTATCCAGTGGTGGTTTGCTGGATGTCCCTGCCTGAGGTGCTGCTGAACTTGGAACAGAAGCTTCGTTGTGCACTGGGAAGTGTGCACACATCTGTGAGAATAGTAATTTATTTCCAGAGCCCAGATCAGAGGAAGAGGAAGGAGAAAAAAAAAACCAAACACAAGCAAGCATCATGAAATGGATGGCCGGTGTGGGCCCCAGAGCTGGGAGCAGGGCTGTTATTCACACACACAGGATGTCTCATCTACGGGTTGCATCACATCCCTGGGAATCAGCTTTGAAGACTGTTTACTCAGACAAATTGCTGGGGGAGGAGGGGTTGGCTGTCAAAAATATTAAATAGTGGGATTATTTTTAATTTGGGGCTCTAAAAATTCTCCCCAGTCTCTCACGGGCGCACTTGTTGGGCTAGAAGATCTCTGCTTTGTAAACTGCAGTAGCTCTGCCTAAACTGAGTGCTTGGTCAGTGAGGTCATTGCCTCTGAAGGGGAACATTAGGAAGGCTGAGAGAGAGAGATACAGAGAGAGAGACAGACAGACAGAGACAGAGACAGAGAGAGACAGAGAGACATAGAGACAAACAGAGAGAAAGAGATGGAGACAGAAAGAAACAGAGAGACAGAAAGAGACAGAGACAGAGAAAGAGACAGAGACAGAGAGAAAGAGAGAGACAGAGAAAGAGACAGAGAGACAGACAGAGACAGACAGACAGACCAAAAGACACACACACACACACACACACACAGACAGACAAACACACAAACACACAGACACGGCGGGGGGAGGGGGAGAGATACGTACATCTAGTCATCTATGAAAAGGGCCACGGCCACGCCTTTCTAAATCTGGCATTTGCTTTGTTGTTTATTTAAACTTTTGAATGAAGAAGGGGGGAAAAACCCTCCTAATTTTATGAAAGAAATAGGAAGAGACTTTAAAAGAACCCCTGAGACAGAGAAGAGGGCAGCAAGCAGTGAGCAACAGGCAGATGTGAGCCAGAGGCAGGAAGGGGAAACCTCCGCTCCTCCCAGAGGCCACTTGGAAACCCTTTGTTGTCTGTGTGTGCTGGTGCTCTGTCCAGACTCCCAGGAGCTGCTGAGAAAGCATGTGGGAGAGAGGTGTCCAGTCTTTGCCGTTTGTACTGCTTTCAGGTGTGCGGTACAAAGGGCGTGTTGGCTTGTAAACCCAGTGTATCAGTGTTGTTGTGGGAGAGCTTTCTGTGTGGTGGTTGTGTCCGGACTGTGCTACCCAGAACTGCTGGCAGAAGCCACTCGTGTCTGATGAGCATCGGCTGTGTAAGCAGTGGGTCCGAAGAGGTGCAGGCTTAATTTGATTTGATTTTCTCCTATTGGACAGGTCAGGCTAGAGGAAGTTCCTCATGACCCCCTTACAGCACTGGGACCACACTGGCTATTTGTTTATTCTCCAGCGATGACTGTCATTGTAGGAATTAATGGGTACAAAATAGCTGGTAAACTCACCCAGTGCCCCAGACCTGTCAGGGTGAGCAGTTGACATCAGTGTTGAGAAGATGACATTGATGTGAAGTCCAAAGCCTTGTTCTCCATGGACATCATGGTAAGCATGTCCAGCCAGGTCATCTGCCACACAATCGAGTCATGGAAAGAAACCCTGAAAAAAGTTGCTATGTTTTAAGTAAGCTTATGATTTCATGATGGGCCGCATTCATAGTTAGCCTTGGACTGCTGTCTGGAGAAACTACAGGATTAGGGTTTTACTCAGAGAGAATCATCCATCAAAGGGCTGGGGTTGATTCTGCCACCATCACAAGGAGACAGTGGGATTCCTTTACTTGGAAACAGCTGGGGGAAGGAGGCAGGGCAAAGCCTTTGGAGGCAATGGAAGGAAAGGAGCTAGCTGTGATGGTACAGCCAATGCTGGAGGCGAGATAGAGAAGAATATGTCCATTAGGTCGAGTTCACAGGACCAAGTGAGATGAAGAAATGGGGTCAAACCCATAAACAGAGCCGGGGTCAAGACTGGGTAGCGGGGGCTGGGAAGGAAGGAACATCTGCTGGATACGGGTTCAGTGTGTGGGACATGCAGCGGGAGGGTGAGCTGGAATCCTTGCCTCAAGGCTACATAAGCCACACAGAATCAGCCAAGCAACAGGTCCCTTGGTCAGTTGCTGTTTGACAGACTTCTGCTGAAGAAGTTTACCTTGCATAACTTTGTTTGGAAATCAAGAGTTCCAGCTGAAAGGTAAGTTCCTTTCTGAGGACTGGGAAGCCTCAATCCCAGTGTCTTAGTTGATACACAAAAGCTTCTGAGAAATGATGACCTTCTCTGTCAGTGAGGAATGTTCCAGAGCATGAACGAGGTTGTATGGATCACACACCTGATGTCCTGATTGAAGGTTTATCTAATTATTCTTAATAATAATAAAAAATCGGGCATCAGACATTGGGATAAGAGCCTGAATAAACAGAGAAGCAGCAGAGAAGCCAACCGTGACCTCCTGTCTCTTCCATTCCTCCATCCGAAATGGTTGTGCTCCTCTTTTAGCTCCGCCTTACTACTTCTGTGCCTATCTGTCCTCAGTCATCCAAAACCTCTATGGTCAGCTAGTGGCTAGCTCTACCCTCTGACTCCAAGTAAGCTTTATTGTCAGAATATGATCAAAATATCACACAGCACCTGACTGATGCTTTTCTGTTGGCTTAGTGGCTACACATGAATCTGCCGATATTTTAATAATGGCCTCTCAGTCAGCATCCTGCCAGCCACTCAGGCCTGGAGGGACTTCAGGTTCCTCAACCCTGGCTTGGCCACGGCTACCAAATGTAGGTTTTTAACTACATCTCTATTGTTCTATTTACCAACAAAGACTCAGAAGTCAGATGTGGGGGGTGAAAACCTGCTAGATCGGAGAGGCCAAGGAGAAGTTAAGCCAGCCTCTTTAGGGGGCGGGTTTGCCTCGGGCGAATGCGTACTTTCCTACCTCCTGTGCTACGCGGGAATCTCCGTTCTGTAAGTTTTATTTAATCATTAAATTTGTATATATTCTTTAATATTTGCCTGCGTTTATTCACGCCGATACAGCAACCTGCTGACCTTCCTGTTTGGCTGAGACCCAGCAAAAGACTCATCTTTCCAGTCGTCCCAAACTAAAAAGACTGCAAAACTCCAAGCCCCCTCCCTAAACCTTCCTGGGCATCTCTCTATCTGTGTTCCTGGCTCCTCCAGTCAACCAGCTGTGGGCTCTACCCTGTGAACCAAGGTTGATTTTTATTTAATGAATGAAAACATAAACTCGGGGTTCACAGTGTGATAGAATACCCCACAATGCCTGACACTTATCCTGAAACTAAATTTCCTGCAGTAGTGTATCACCCATGCTCTTCGCCAGATTAAAGATTGCAGGAACGCATTTGGACAGTCATTGGATTCAAGATGTATGAACACTAAAGCTATGTGTCATGTAGCCATTGGCATGGAAAAAAATGTGAGGGACTGGTGAAACCAAGATGGCAATCCAAGGGCATGGGAGCATGTCTTAACTTTTCCTGGGGGGCGGTGCTGGTGGCAAGAGAGGGAGAGCTTCATTGGGCGAGGGTGGGGTGGTGAGTGGAATTGGTTGGCGTTCGTCTTGGGAAGTTTCAATACCTTGAAGCTCTGGCATGAAACCATCTCTTATCTGTGGCTGTGAATCTGCCTGGCAGAGAGTGGGTTGGCAAAGTGCAGAGATTCTAAACAGTATCTTGGTAAATAAGATTTCAGGTAGGGATTGGGGAGATGGCTCAGGGGTTAAGACTACTTGCTGCTCCTGTGTAGTCCAGGAGTTTGATTCCCAGCACCCACAGTAGTACAGTTCCAGGGGTTCAGTGCCCTCTTCTGGCCTCTTTGGGCACTGCATTAATTCACTGAACAGTTCACAAATGCACATTCAGGCAAAACATTTATACACATAAGTTAAAAATAAAGCTTTAAAAACTTTTGGGGAAAATTAGTCTTTTATA